GGGTTTGAACTTTGATCCACATGCTTGAGCATAAGCATTCTTTTGTGCTGAGCCATTTCCCCAGCTAACCTGTTTTGTTCGTTTGTTTGTTTGTCTGTCTGTTTGCTTGAGACTGGTCTAAAACTGGTCAGTTGGCTTGGCTGACTGGGATCTACCTGCCTCTGCTTCCTTAGCTCTGGCTTTTTTTTTTTTTTCCTTTTTAAAACTTGGGTCCTGGGGACTGAACTTATGTCTTCATGCCTGTGACAGCATGTAGTTCTGAGCAGGACAGTAGGTTGTCTTAGTTTCTGTTCCTATTTTTGTGACAACATATCTGACAAATTCAATTTAAGGGAAAAAGGGGTTCCGCTGGCTCACTGTGCCAGGTACAGTCCACCCATCATGGGAGGGCAGTTAAAGCAGCAGGAGCATGAAGCAGCTGGTGTAATGGCAGGAGTAGTAAGGAAGCAGAGAGCAATGAATGCATCACACCAGTGCTCAGCTAGCTTTCTCCTTTCTACACAGTCTAAGATCCCCTGCACAGGGAATGGTGCCTCCCAGAGCGGGTCTTCCCACATCAATGAACACAAGACAACACCACAGCATGTCTACAGGCCAACCTTCTCTAAACAATCCCTTATTGAGACCTTTCCCTTTCTCCAGGTGATTCTAGACTGTCAAGTTGACAATGAAAACTAAGCATCATCAAGCCTCCATATACATTATATTGATCAGACAGCTTGGCAGGAAGAGATGGGAGTCTACACTCTCCCGTGTCTTAGCTGAGTGTGTGATTATTGCTTGCCACCTCATGGCTTCTGGCTTTAATCCAAATGCCATATTCAATGAGAGCATCTACCCTCCAGTATCATAACAAATAAGGGAAGATGTGGTAGCCTCAGTGGCTTCGGGAAGGAAAGGCTTCCAGGAGCTGGATTCAGAAATGCTGGCAAATATTTGCCAAAGGCAGGCACCCACAGGGTGGGCAACAGGCTATTGTTGAGGTTTCCAGGAAGTCACAGAACAGCTGGGGAGTCATGTGGCCCCAGACCGGCTCCCATACTGAGCAAACGTGCCACAGATTAAATATTTATCTATTGTCCTGTCCACCTCAATAGAATATCACACTCTTTCATGCTCTTGCCTTAATGATGTTTGTGTGCCTTGGAATGCCGCCCTGGGCCAGCCAATCATATCTAAAGATGTGAAAACATAAAAATCGATATAAAGAAATGAAAAGTCTGTTCACTGATAAAACATAATTTATCTTACTCATAGGCACTTCTCAGATTCCTCTAAGAGCCCTTTCAGAGGGCAGCATCAAAGCCAGAACCTGTTTGCCTGCAGGCTTCTCAGGGTAGTGGGGCAAGGCGAGAATATATGGGGGTGGAGATGGGGTGCCAAGAAGAGAGTGCTTCTGGGGCCGGCACTACCGGACTCGCTTCCACCCAGGAGCTCCACTTGCAGATTCCCAAGGGTATTTCAGCATTTCAAAGTTCCCAGAGGTTGGGCTGGAGTGGTAGAATGTTTGCCCAGCATGCATGAAGACCTGAGTTCTATCCCCAGCATTGTATAATACCAGCTGTGGTGGAGCACAACTGTAATCCCAGTCAAAGTCATCCTTGGCTACATATCCAGTTGCAGACCAGCCAGGGCTACTATGTCTAAAATAAATACTCTGAGAAAAGAACAGATCTTCACCAAGCATGGTGGTGCACACCTTTAAATTCTAGCACTCAGATCTTTGTGAATTTGAGGCCAGCCTGATCTACAGAAAGAGTTCCAAGATAGCTAGGGTTACACAGAGAAGCCCTGTCTCAAAAAAGCAATTGCCCCCTGCCCCAAACAATTACCCCAGATCTTCATGAAACTCTGATAGGGAAGTGCTTAGAGATCCTTTTTGGTAGATGTTATGTAAAGTGATATCATTAAGAAAATTATGCATCCTAATTAGAATGAATTTGGGAAATGACTTTTTTTTTTTTTTAAACAAGGTTTCTCTGTGTAGTTGTGACTGTCCTGGAACTTGCTCTATAGACTATGGTGCTATGGTGGCCTTGAACTCAGAGTTCCATCTGCCTTTGCCTCCCAAGTGCTGGCATGCACCACCACCACCTGGTTCAAATTATTTTTTAAATTACACTTATTTATTGTATGTGTGTGGGTATGTGTGTATGACCATCAGAAGATAATCTGGGGAGGGTGGGGGGCTCAGTTCTCTCCTTTTACCATGTTGGTCTTGGTGATCAATCGAGTCATGAGGTTTGATGGCTAGTCCCTAAGCCATCTTGCCAGCCTGAAAATGAAATTATTTAACCCACATCCAAAAATTTAACAATAAATCAACTACTCACACCTGTAGGTTCTGTACCCATGCATTCTAAGAACAGCAGCTCAAGTGGGTAAAGGCACTTGCTGCCAAGTTTAGCAACCTGAGTTCAACCCCCAGGACTCACCTGGTGGGAGGAGACTCTCACAAGCTTTCCTCTGACCTCCACATGGATGCTGTGGCAGGTTCTTATGCACCTCTCCTATAAACAATAAACAAATATAATTTTTTAAATGTGCAGGAAAAAACTGCATCTCTGTACTAAAGCACAGGAAGATCGCAAATAATACAGCAGGGGCCTCCTCACATTGCTGTAGTATAGTAAATAACAAGAGGACAACACATGGAAACTTTGTGTAAGATCATATATAAATACTGCACTATTTTCTATGACACACCTGAGCATCTGCAGATTTTGAAATCTTGGGCTAGCCTGCAGTGTCCTGTAGCATTCCTTGAGCTATATGGGGAGGAAGCAGGTATCATCTGAGGGACAAGGTTAGGGCACTGTCTTCATGGAACACCAGTAGCTCCTTTCCTTTATTTACCCTGCCAGACACTCCTCCAGGCTGTGGGCTCTCTAGCCCTTTTTCTATGGACAATAGAGAGATCAGGGTGACCCAGGAGTGGTCCCCCTCTGAAGCCTCTGGGAGGTGACAATGGATTGAGGCCAGGTTGAAGGTGGGGGGTGGGCGGACACTTCACCTCCTCTATTCAGTTCTCTTTGATCTGTAGCCACGTTTGGAAGGAAGGTGAGGGATGTGTCATTGTTGCCCACACAGCAGGAAGGTTTGAAATATTAGTGTTTCCCATTGTTGGTGTGGTAAATGCTGCATTCTATCAAGTGACCAGATGGTTCTTCTTTCTGCAAGCTCTGCACTGAGGCTCTTCTGGTCTTCGGCCAGTTCTTATGTTGAGCTTTCTCCTGCCTTGTGCTGTGTGAATGAATGGAGGACCCCTCACTTCAGCAGCTGAGACACAGATGTGACATCAGAGAATGTCACATTTACACAAACCTCTCTGGACCCCCAAATCTAAATGTGACCTCTTCCATAGTTTTTAATATGGTTGTCCTTTTGTGTCCTGGGGATACTACACAAATTGGTACTCAAATTTACCTTTTATGGAAGACTAAGCATTAGCACACTCAAACATACCACACACACACACACACACACACACACACACACACACACACACGGAAAGAGAGAGAGAGAGAGAGAGAGAGAGAGAGAGAGAGAGAGAGAGAGAGAGAGAGAGACCTATGCACAGCCTCCTGTATTTTCTCAGTTGAAGAGACTGCTGGGAGGTTAAGAGCACTTGCTGTTCTTCCTGAGTTTCCTAATATCCACATAGTAGCTCACAACCATTGGGAACTCCAGTTCTAGGGGATCTGATGCCGTCCTCTGACATCTGTAAGGTCTGTGTGCATATATACAGGCAAGGAAACCACGCACATACAAAGAGTGTGTCAATCAACCATGTGGTACTGTACCTCAGTGTGGTTCTCCTGTTCTCAGTGTTTGCATGACTATCTTGTATTTTCTAGTAGTTCAAGTGAATCTGATGGGAGAGATTTTATGCATTTTTGGGATTAGAGAATGTGTGAGGGTAGACTCCTCTTGCAAGAGTAGGATGGGGGTATATCCATCTTAGATTCTTGAGATGGGGCAAGTCTTAAATAGTTTTCTACTTAGCATGAAACCATCTGACCTATGGATTCCACCTAGCCTCATTTTCCAGTGGAAAAATAAATTAGCACTAATTTGGGGGTCAGGGAGTGGATGATGTATACATGTGTTCTCACACTGGAGAAGGGTAGTTCATATGGGAACCACAATGTATACATGTCAGGGAGTCTAGTTATTGGAAAATTACAGCCCTGGATTCTGTTGATGTGAATAAGCTCCAATATCCTCTGTAGGGTTAACCAAGCAACCCACAACAAAATGAGCTGATAATGACAATGCTGATTATCCATAATTAAAAAGTCCCTATGGCAGTGGCTGGAAATTGCAAACAACTCAAGACTGTGCTAGTGAGTGGCTGATAAAGAAGCTTTCTCCAAGACTTGGGGGTAGATCAAGTCTATTTGCACATGAGAAGTGTGTCTTTTCTTGTAGCCTGGCAGGCAGCTGGACTTCACAATATTGCAGGGGATGCAGTAACCTTTAAAAGGCTTTCTTAGTCAATTGCCAATTAGTTGACCTAATAGAGTGCAAAAATGAAACCTTAATCAAATCATACACATTGGGTTTTGTGTGTGTGTGCTTCACAGTAGAGGATGTTTAATTTGTATAAGACTTTGGGTCCCAATCCCAGATCATTAGCCATGAGGAAAAAAAAGTACACACAATTTACCATTATGTTCCAAAGGAAGACTTAGAAAAATTTGGTTCCAGGAGCATGAGCTGCTCTGATGAGATGTCTTCAGTTCTGTGCTGAGGATGTTGCTTTTGGACTGGGGTTTCCTTTTTACCTCAAGCAGATTAGAACTATGCATTTGGATGAATGAAGCACTCAGATTCTTATTTTTCAAAGCGTGTAAATCCTCCATGAGAAACAGTTTAGAAGATTTAACATGGTTCATTTAATGTCTTGAATACCATCTCCAAGATTTAACATAATGAAAAACAATGCATAGGAGAGAATCTATAAGGAGATATCTATATTGGAAAAAACACAGCGGATATTTTATATGTACATTCAGGCTTTATTTGCACAGAGTATTTCTGGAATCATGCAGAAGAAATGGATCAAGAGAGTCATCTCCTTGGAGAGTGGAGACTGATGGGGAAGAGGCGAGATGCATACTTAGGGTTTTTATCAGACATTGTTCCTGATTTCTGAATTCTGTGTTAACTTATGTACCAACTATTAACAATGATGATTAGTTGAGGTGGGAAGACTCACCCTGACCATGGTGGCACCACTCCATAGGCTGGGGTCCCAGATTAAATAACAAATCAGCAGGCTGAGCACCAGCATTGTCTCTCTCTGCTTCCTGTTTGCATATGACAAGCTGCTGAATACTCCTGCTGCCCTGCCTCTCCACCCTTCCCTCATGCCCTCAAACTGTGAGCCAGCATGATTTCTGTCTCAGTTTTTTCCTTCCTCTATTTCCTTAGGAGATGAAGGTTGTTTGATTACTTATAATGATGATGTCTCTTTCTTCTTCAAAACCACGCTCATGTCTGAAGTATATGATCCTAGAATCTAAAGGAAAACACCCATCTCCATGACATGACAGGATTATATATCAGACAAGTCCAGGACTCTGGACTGAGGCAAAGACCTTAGTCCCAACGCCCAGTTGCTGAGTACACTGGCAAGCTTTTAAGAAACTTTCAGAGCTCTGGAGGTAACACAGAGCCCTAGAGGAGTGCTCTTAGGAAGGTACTATGTACTAATGGCTTGAGCATCAGGGACAACAAGGCACAACCCTAGAGCAAAGTGTGTTCAAGTGGATGCAGGCCTCTTATTTCACTCTGCTTCAGTGCTGCTCACAGAGGCCAATTGCCTGCCAGGAATTTAAAAGAGCGTGAGACCAACATTAATCTAATGAAAAATATGATATTTCATTAATTATGCAAAAAAGAATTCTGTTTGTACACACAGATCAACATAAGACAGAACATTGCCTTCGCATCTTAGATGCTCACAGTGCTAAGTAACAATTCCTAGAAGAAAGCAGGGAGGTGTACAGCAGATCTAAATGTTCTGGGTTCTGAGCTGCCCTGGATGGTCAGTACAAAAAAAAAAAAAAAGAAACAAGAGCACGTGGAATGTTATGGAAAGCCATCTTGGTGAATCCTTAAACTATGGAGGCTTTACTAGACGTTTCAGTTTGAATGTGGAAAATGTTTCCCACAGGCTCGTTTGAACACTTGGTCTCAGCTGGTGGCACCGTTTTGGAAATCTGAAACCTTTAGGAAGTGGAGTGTCTGGAGGAGGGCCTTTGTGGTAGCCCAGCCCCACTCCCTGTCTGTTCTGGACTTGTTCGGACATGGTGTGAGGTGAGGGAGCCGGGTTGTATGCTCTTCCTACCATGGCATCTCCTGCTGCAACTTTCCTTCCATGACAGGCTGTGTGCCTTTAGACCATAAGTCAAACAATACTTTCTTCCCTTAAATTGCTTTCGTCAGGTTATCTTGTTCCAGTGAGAACAAGGAGTGACAAGGTGGTCAACACACTTCTGGAGGAGGCAACCCAAGCTGGTAACTCCCTGGCATATTTATGAGATTTGCGAGGACAGCAGTAGCATATAGGTCATTATCCCAAGGCCTTCTCAACTGAAGAGCACAGGGCCAAGGACCATACTAGCAGCTCTGTCTCTGAGGGGATACATCAGTATCCAGCTCCCCTACTCAAATTCTTGTTCTCTTTAAGTCTGGCCCTCCCTCTACCCATCAGCACCTTTGTTTTCTCTACAGGACACAGATGCAGACTGGCACAGCAGAACTTTCCTTCCAAGTCAGGTTTGCATGAGGAGATTTATAACTTGCAGTCCTTGAGTCACCCAAGTGAGGAGACTAGATGCTGAGCTTTGGTTTAAATGACTGACATTTTCCTCAACTGGAATTAGCCAGTAATTGCATGTGGGCAGACTTAGCCAGAATGGTCTAAATGACCAATTAGAAGGCAAAAAGGAGGTCCTTTTTTTTTAAAGTTCAAGGGTCCCCATTGACGAGCCCTACTTCTCAGGCGATGCTCCAATGGGTCTGTGCCCAGCTCTCTGCCATGTGCAAGTATACCCTACATTTGCCTAACGATAATGAATTGAGTACTTATTTTGCAGGAAAATATAGGGCACATCCATTACATGCAATCAAGCAAAAAGGCTGCGAAATGGGCACTCTATTAATTCCAAACAGAACCCTTCCCAAATGTCATCCTGCAACCCGAGCGTGGGCTTATTACCAATCTGAAGGAATTAAGGGTAATTTTCATTTGTACAAAGGATTTGAGGGATACGGCTTCTGCCACACACACACACACACACACACACACACACACACACACACACACACACACACAATTAATTGAGTTAAATTCAATTTGGCAATTTTAGTGCGAATCACCCAGCCCTGACCTGGCCTGCCCAAGGGTGAGATCAGAGTGTCTTGTCTGCTAGAGGAAGCAGGTATATGCAGGTAAGGCGAGTCTGTTCGAACATGCACACACTTTAGGATACACACAGAATGGAATGCAGTTCACCAATTATTAACCAGTAAGTTGCCCAAAGAGGAAAATATATGCTAATGAGTAGCAAATCTCCAAATCTCTAAGCCTCAGTTTCCTCATCTTTAAAAGGGGAGAATGACATCTCCTTTAATGGTGGCATGAGGCTAGTGAACTTGAGCACAGCAGAGACCTCCCTTTGTGTGGGGACTAACTCTGATCTTTAATGCTATGCTCTGGGGGGACAGTATCTAGGCTGTGCTGATTCCCACGGCACATGTAGGAACATCTGGGACCTGAATATGAATGGGGACAATTTCCCAAGTCACTGCTAGGTCAGTCCCCAGGGCCTACAGATGTGGTTAGCCTTACTGATTTTAATGTCCACTATCTCTGGGTGGTCGCTGGGCTTATGGGAGAGCATAGAGCAAGAGATAGGAGCAAGCAGCGTAAGGCGGTTGGGAAGCTGGTCCAGATGTCCTGCAGTGAGAGAGCAGGCAGGAAGGCAGCCTGGGTCATCACTCCACGTTCCGGTACTTGGTGAAGAGGTTGTAGAGCACTCGCAGCGTGGACTTCAGGTCACAGTTGACAATGTCTGTGGAGAGACAAAACTTGTTAGTGGCTTCTGTGGGCCACACTCCAAAATTGGAACTGATGGTCGGTCCCCTACCATCCAGCATTCATCCTCATCTGCCCAGTACGGTCCTCATGTGGGACTCATGGCCATCAGGGGCAGGAGCATGTGGAAGGATGAGTTGGTGTGTATTGAGAACTCAGAGCAAGCAAGCCATAAGGGAAGAGGCCAGGTGCTAAGGATTCAGTCTCATAGAAATATGGCTGTCACCCCAGAGTGTGACTTCTCCATGGACATAGCAGCTGCAGGAAAGAAGGGTGTTCATGGTTGCTATGTCCAGTCTCATCTGTCCCTAAGGCTCTTCCCCTTCGTCTCCACCTTCATCACAGTTCTACCTGTGTTTGTGAAGAAGGAGACACTTGAGCCAAGTGTGGTACCACACACCTTTAATCCCAGTACTTTGGAAGAAGAGGCAGACAGATCTCTGAGTTTGAGGTGAAGAAAAAGAAGAGGAAGAAGAGGAAAAGGAAGAGGAAGGAGGAGGAGGAGAAAAAATTATGACGCCAGCAGCACTTGGGTTATTCAGAGGATGGCGGAGGGCACAGGCCTGCACAGAACAGGGGGAGGCTGGGAACTAACTTCTTCCTGCTTCCTTCTGTCCACTCATCCATCCCAGGGTACCCCTCTATTCTCTGTAGTCTCCTGCGCCTTCTTTTTCTCTGCCTTTCCTCAGTGAGCCATTCTTTTAAGAACCAGAGTAAACAAAGGAAGAAAGAAAGAAAAAAAAAAAAAAAAAAAAAAAAAAAGGAATTCTGCTATTTAGGAATGCACACATAGGCAGTAAAATAAGGAACAACAACCCCCCTTCCGGCAACACAAGGGTGGCAGGTGCTGCTGCTGAGATGAGGGAAGTCAGGATAGCAGGTGCCCTAAGACAGGGAAGTTGGGCAAGGAGAGGACTGTGCTATGGAAAGGAGGGCGTGCAGGGCACATGGGAGAGCACATTCCTCCTGTCCTGACCTAGGTCGGGAATTCAGCTCTGCTCCTGTGTCATTTTAAAAATAGAAATGGTATTTAAAGGTATGAGTGTGTAGGTCACATGAGGCAGGTGACCTAAGCCAACGGCTGACCTGGGCTTCGAGATGGGAAAGATGGCACAGAGCCACTGGGGGTGGGGTGGGGGAGGTGAGACTATGGCTATATGCTGGTCCCCAGGACCAAAGTTCCATCAGGGAAATCAGAGCCCCTGATAGGCTGGGCAGGGGGGTTCCCTTGGCCTTGAGGCTGTAATGGCTGTGGCTGCAGCTCCTATAGTCATAAGACTCCTAGCACTAAGTGGCTGGAAGCTGAGGGTCCCAAGCTGCAGACTGTCTTAGCATTCCCTCATGTCTGATTTCTGGTATCTTGGTTGCAAACCAATCCTGCTCTGTTCCAGCTGTGTCCAGATGCACACCAAAATGCCTTGCTGATAGAGAACGGGCCACTGGGACATCTGGAGAGGCATGGAACCCAACATTTTACTTTCTGCCCCCCTTTCAGTTTCCATTTGAGAACCTGACTGGTGGCCGAGCCCTGTCATGGTACCCTGCACGTGCTGCCCCAAGTCCCATCAGAATCACCTCCTTCCAGATGCAGTTTTATGGCATCTGGGCCCATTCCCATTCTCTCCACTCTTGCAGAGCTATGAACAGCCAGAGGAAGTGCTCACAGCACGGTAAACACACAGGAGGCTGTGGGCTGCTCACTGGGGTAGCTTCGCAAAGGCAGGTATACATGAATTCTGGGAATTCATCTTTTCTCTCCCCCCTCCTCTTTCTAATGTGGGTTTGTATGTGTGCCTGAATGCTTGTATGCACACCACATGTGTGCAGGGACGCATGGAGGCCAGAAGAGGGCATCAGAGCTCCTGGAGTTGAGTTATATATGCTTGTGCTGCCCAATGTAGGTGTTGGGAACAAAACCTGGGTCCTTGGGAAGAGCAGCAAGTGCTCTAAACAACTCAGTCCCTTCTATGCCTGTTAAAGCTAAGTGCACTCTGAAGTTGACAGGGAAAGCCAATGTTCGGCATAGGAAGACATTTGCACTGGCCATTTTATTTCAACCCAATGTCTACTATGGTTTGCTGCCCATCTCCATTGCCCCATGAGATCCCAGTGGTCAACTTCTCTGTTTTCTTACTGGTAAAACTAGGCAAGTTTATGAAGATTACCTAGAACACATTAAGGACACATGGTTTCCTTCCAGTCTTCTCACCTTTGCTCACTAACAGAGCTATTATTGCATACAGCTACGTCATGCGCCTGCTGCATAACAGCAGGGGGTCACCATTCACAGAGAAGACTTGCTTTTTGATTGCATTGAATTGATACTATCCCTTTCACCATGATCAGGTATATAGGGATGAAGGGGTGGCTGCTTAGCCAACTACTGGTCAGCTATCCAGGCAAATTAGGCAAATTAGCAGAGTATGAGAGACTGAGCTATTCAGCAGGGGGAAGGCTGTGGGTGCCTGAGAATCTACAGAGACTCGTGCTATGTTGACAGAGCCCACCGAAGCCGGGGTTGAATGACCTGTGAGATGAGCAATTCAGTGTGCCTGTATAGGCTGGTCCAGGACCACTCTCAGGAACACACAGTTAAACTGTGGGTCTCTGGGTTAGAGTCCACAGGCACTGGTTGTCTGGTGGGCTGGGACTAAGAGAACCAGGTCAGAGCCAAAGAGCTCCAGGAGAAACCAGCCCTGGGCCCAGGGAAAGGATTCCCCATCTCTTCTTCCTTCTCCAGGAACCAGGGACTCTACCTGTTCAAGAGCCATGCATGTTGAGGATGTTACAGGTGTACCTTCATCTATTTATATGTGTATGATTGGAAATCAGAAGACTTTAGGAAGGAGGTTCTCTCCTGTCACACGGGCTCCAGGGGAACTCAGTTTCAGACTTGCAGCAAGAACCTTTGTCTGGTGAGCCATCTCACTAGCCCCCCCCCCTTTTTTAAATTAATGATTTATTTTTATGTGCATTGGTGCTTTTCCTGCATGGATGTCTATGAGAGGGTTCCAGATTCTCTGGAGTTACAGACAGTTGTAACCTGCCAATTGAACCCAGGTCCACTAGAAGAGCAGCAAGGGCTCTTAACCACTGAGCCATCTCTCCAGCCCCTCCTTGTTTTTTTTTTTTTTTTTTTTGAGACAGGATTGATTTCTTTGTATAATAGCCTTGGCAGTCCTGGATCTCACTCTGTAGACCAGGTTGGCCTCAGACTCACAGAGATCCTCCTGCCTCTGCCTCCTGAGTGCTGGGATTAAAGGTGTGGGCCACCACCACCCAGCTCTTTTTTTTTTTTTTTAAAGTAAAAATAATTATCCAATAGTTGTGGGCTTCCATGAAGTGTCTCTGTTTGGGTATCTTTTACATAATGGTTAAAACAATGTAATTAACATGGTTATTTCAAAAATTGTCTTATTGATCTGCTTCCCTGTATCCCAATCTTCTGGTGAGTATCATCCCACATTTGATTTCTGTGAGATCACCTCCTTTGGATTCTGCACATGACAAAGATGGTGTGGCATTTGTCTTTGGTATCTGTCTTATTTCCTCCAAGCCTATGCATGTTGTCTCAATAATTAATCTCATAGTTCCTATCTGTCTATCCACTGACAGACACAGGTTGATCCTGTGACTTGAGCCACAGTGAACAGGTAGATGGAGGTATGTCTCTGACATACTCAATTCATCTCCTTTGGACATATACCCAGTAACGGGGTTGCTACATTGCATAGAAGCTTCATTTATAGTTTTCTGGGGACTACCTCCTACCATTTCTCATAGTGTCAGTACTGATAGACGATGTCACCTATAATGTGTAAGAACTCTCTACTCTCTACCATGGATCATCTTGGAGTTCTCTCCTGGTCTGTGGTTGTGCATGATTCTATGGGACCATTGGGTATGCTTACTTCTTGTTTCTGTTATAACAAATAATCTCAGATCTGGTGGCCAACAACACAGATTTGTCACCTCCCAGTTCTAGGTGTCAAAAGTCCCCAGTTGGTCTCTTCAGGATGTGGTCAAGTTGCTGACTTGGCTTCTCCTATGGCTCAGTGCAGAACCCTTCATGCTGGCTTTTTTTGCTGTAGAGTCTGCCCACATGCCCTGGCTTACAGCCCCTTTCTACCATCTAGTCCAAATCAGCCAGGCAAACCTTTCTCATACCCCACCACACTGACATTCTTACAGCTTATCAGGATAGCTGTGATGTGGGGGCTCCCCACAGAATGGTCTGGAAGGATCTTCACATCCCACGATCACCAGCTCAATGTCTGCCAAGTTTCTTTTGCCAAAGTACTGTGTATATTAAGAATAGTATGGGGACTCTTGGCACATGTAATATTTTGCTTGCCATGCAGGATGTTAGAGATACCCAGAAACATCAGATGGAGACAGTTTTACTGCATGGCTGTGGTCATTCACCTTTGAGCCTGCAGTTTCTATGGTTCCATGCCTTTGTGATGATCAGAGTTTGAGGAAGCTGTTGATGTCAGCTCTGCATGGTGTATCCAGGACTATGGGGAATGGGGCTGGGGCAGCTTTCACGTTTTTGGCCATAGACCAAGCCCACCCATGTTGAGCTGACCAATGGAACTGCCCTGCCACCACATAGCCTGTCCCAGCCGCCAGACACCCATGGTTTGCATATGTCACCCATCTGTTGGTTGTCCACAGTTTGATTCTGACTGCATTGGGCTTCTCCTAAGTCCCAACCTGCCTGGCACTCTGGGATCCTGACTATATCTGATGATGAGTCCACTTGAATGTGGGAACACTGAGGCATGTGTATTTGAAGACACGTACCCCTCAATATCAAGCCACCAACCAGCCTTATACCAATTTTCTCATTTCTCCTCCTTGGTTTTCCTCCTCTCCCCTCCCTTCCTCTCCTCATCTCCTCTCCCTTCTCCCACCCACGCTTGGTATTAAACTGAGGTCCTATTCATTTTACATGTTAGTTTGAGACAGTGTCTCACTAAATCCCCAGGGTGGACTTGAACTTGCTAGGTAACCCAGGCTGGCCTGGAATCACTCTCTAAATCCCAGAGAGGCATTGAGCCTACAACCCTCCTACCTCAGCCTCTACAGCATTTCTCACCCGGTATTCAATCCCTCCATTAGTTATGGATGTGATGCTCACCTTCAGTTTAAGCGTGTCAGAGCACCAGCAGGCTCTGAAGCCCAGGTGGCAGAAGTTTGCGATGTAACAGGGGATTATACAGAGCTCTGAGGACCCCTGACCTCAGAATCTTGCCAGGAGAAATGCCTCCACCATGGTATTTTGATCTGGTGATATCAGCAAAGAATCCCTTCCGATGTCTGCCATGTCACCTCTCCCAGGTAGAAGCCCAGAAGCCAGAGGGAATGCTGAGAGCTGCTGCTCAGAGTCCAGCTTCACAGAGCACCACTTCAGCCCCCCTTTATGCACTGGAAATTTTCTGCATGGGCACGATGCCCAGGGCAACAACAAATAAGATACATGTGTTTTTCCACTGCCATTGCTTAGGAAGTCTTAGATTAAGTGGGTCAATAATCACATTTGAAACCTCTCTATATACCAAAACAGTCTTATAGATTGGCACTGAGAAAATCTCGCTGTCTAAAAGGAAACAAAGGCCCAAACACCAACGTATTGGGACATGTTTCTCCAGCCTGCAGGTTGGAAGTTTCCATGAAGCAATTCAAGGATCCAACCACAGAAAATGAAGCTGGGGCTGGAGAGATGGCTCATCCATTAAAGGCTAGTCTCACAACCCAAAATATAAGAAAGTGAAACTGGTACTCTCTAAGTCAGGTGCCAGGGCTGCTGCAGGATGCTAGAGCTCATCCATAGGGACATTGGGAATATACAATCTTTTTTTTTTTTTCTTTTGGGTGGGGTTTAGGCAATCTTGTCTTTCTAGGGAGAGTGTTCCTGGGAGCATCTTCACTCCAAAGGTCCTCCCCTAGGGGTAATCATGGACATGAGACACAGTGAGAATGAAGGAATAAAGCATTGAGCTTTGTCCCCTGGAGCTGATAGACCTGCAGGCATCACAAACTAGGGTCCCTGTCCTTAGTGGGGTCTGTGGCTCATCCATTCATTCTGATGTTGATCTTGGTTCTTGCCAGTCTTTCTACTGTATTCTGACTGTCTTTGGTGCATCACACTTTCTTACTGCACACAAATAGAAAAGAGACCGACCCTGTTGCATCCACACAGCCTCCTGTTTGTATTCTGCCTCAACCACTCTCATGACTCTTAGCTGTGTGTGCAGCTAGTGACACTTCCTTCCTTGGTTGGTGGCAGGAACCTTGAGGTCAGGGGCCATCTAAACTTTACTGTGTGCAATGATGTACAGGGTTCCAGGCTGGCTAGACAAGTGCCAGCCTTGTGGGTGCAGGGTCTGGAAGGCAGGTCTTGGATTGGAGGCAACAAAGCAACATGGTGTAGGAGCCACAACCTCTGTGTGTCCCCATGCCTTTTAGTGACCAGGAAGGTGCAAGCACAAGGCTCTGTGGCCACTCTTCTCCGAGTTCCAACTTGACAGACATAATCTGCAGCCCAATGTCAACTTGATGGTACTGATTACATGGAATACTGCAGTGAGTGACACAAGAGTGTGTACCAGGACAATGACCAACAGTGACATGCCTCCCACTTTCACACAGCCAAGCATAAGCACTCCAGGTGTGCCCAATCATACATTCTCTTCTGTTTTTGTTTTCTCCTGGTCTCACACAGCCAACCTTCTGTATCCGTGGGCTCCACATGTGTAGATGCAGACAACAGCATGTGGAAAATATTTTTAGGAAGTTTTCAGGGCTGGAGAGATGGCTCAGTGTTGTTGAGTGTATGTTACCCAACCATGAGGACCTGAGCTCATATCCCCAGCAATCTGGGAATGGGGGGATCGCTGTGGCTTGTTGACTGCTAGCCTATCTGAGAAAAACAAAACAAAACAAACCAAACCCAAAGGATTCCAGTTCAGGGAGAGAACCTGCCTCAAAGGTATAATGTGGAAAGTGATAGAGGAAGACCCTCAATGTTCTTCTCTGTCCTTTGTGTGTATATGGGTACACATACACATATGCACACACACACACACACACACACACACACACACACACACACACACACACACTCTGCATCTGTACTAAACAGGTCATATTTTCCCTTTGTCATTATTTCATCAAAAAAAAAAAAAAAGCCACATAACAACTCTTTACATAACACTTACATAGTAATAGATGTAATTAACTATGTACAGGAGGCAGTGCCTGGATTCTATGTACATGTAAGATCATCTTACATAAGGGACTCCAGTGTCCTGGACTCTGATATCCTTGCAGAGTTTTAGAACCAGCTGACCATATAAACTGAGAGATTACTATATTTGTCACCCAGATCCCATAAATGAAGGTCCCACCCCATTATCACAGACCCAGGGAAGGGAAAAATACCTTCTGGCCGGGGTTTAGGCTTTTCCAGCCCTCCATCTTGCATGAGCTCAAAGGCAAAGGAGACATTCAGAACCTGGCAAGACAGATGCAGTGGATATGTCATTGCATACCTCCTGGACCCTGGAACTCAGAGACCCTAGGATCCCAGGATTCCAGGAACCTAGGACCAGTCCCTGGGAAGCTTAGGGGCCTTGTATCATAGCTGTGGGCTAGAAAGTGGGCTGGTTCTGCAGAGAGCAGCCTCTTATACTTAGCCACTGCCATGGGGGCTCTTTCTGGCCCACCCAACTCCTGCATCAATTGACAAGGCCTTCAAACTCAAGGATAACAGTGCGTACATTCGCTAGAATCAGATGGCAAAGCAAGTTCAAGGGGACCTCTGCCTTGGGCCAAATGTCTTTTGTTTGGTCAAGTAGGATAACGGCTGCCCTGGGACTGCAGAACCAGGATAGGCCAAACCCAAACCAAACCACCCAGTTGTTTACAAAAGGGCTGGAGACATACTTCAGCTCAATCTCTGGCAGCATGCAGGCATTCATGTGTGCATGCATACACTACTATACTGCTGTAAGTCTGAGGTCAGTTTTCACTATAATGCAAATTCCAGGCCAGTCTGGGCTACAGTACAATGTTAGCTCAAATGTTCCTCTTTACCCCATCAAAATAGAAAACAATCAGGGGTTGGAAAGATGGTTCGGCAGTTAAGGGGATGTGAGTTTTGTTCTTAGCACCCATGTGGCTCACAAATGCCAGCTTCAGGGAGTCCAATGCCCTTTTCTGGGCTCTACAACCCCTAAACACACATGTGTACACAGACACTGACACACACATACACATTATAAAAAAGAACCAGTCTGGCCATGGGCCTTAGGGCTAACTGGCCTTGGAGCTACCTTCACTGTCACCTCTGACACAGAGACAAGGCTGGCTGTGTTTCTGTAGGAGCACATGGCTAGGGAAGCAGGGGCAGACAAAAGGCAAGAATGGTGCTCAGCATGCCTGGAGTCTACAGGTGGCTCATGCCAAGCCCAACTGTTACTAAAGAGGGTCCCTCTCCAAACAGCTAAGGCCTGGCCAGGAGGCCGCCTGTCTCTTCCTAGACAGGCCCAGGAGAGATAAGCGGGGCTAGGGCTATGGGCTTCCCCTAGGCCACCCCACCCCCTTACCTTCTGTTCAAAGCTGTCCGGGGTCAGGAAGAAGCTGTGCAGGGGTACAAAGTAGCCCTCCAAGAGTCCCATGAGCAGCACCAGGTAGACCCCATCTGCAAACTACAGGGAGAGCCAGGTGTCAGCATGAGTCCCCTCACCTCCCTGGAATCAGTCTGCCCAAGGCCACCTACATAGGCAGGTTATTGTCCAGGGCCAGTGGCTGGAGTGGGGGGCTTCACCAGGGAGGCAGTGTGGCAGCTACCTTGTGTGTTATCTGTCTTACTCCTCAGTTAATCCAGTGGGCTAGACACCAAACTGCTATACCTCCACTTTATAGGTTAAGAAAAGCGAGTTACAGAGGAAGGCCACCCTGACTATTGGAAGGGACATCACTGTATGGAGGTGTCTGTAGGAATGATAGACATGGGCAAGGACAGTGACATGAAGGTCCTCAGTACCTTTGTTGTTTGAACAGAGAACATGGTGACTTCTGGCTTCCTTGGGATTTCAGAGGCAGACCAGTGAAGCTGACAGAAACAAAGGTTCTGAGTCTAGCCCTATTTACTAGCTGTGGGACCTGAACTGTCTCTGCACCTGATTTTCTTCACCTATAAAATGGGGGTACTGCTGTGTAGTGTCTGTTCCACAGGGCTAGAATGAGGACTATATACAACATCTATAAAGCACCTGGGACCTGCTTGGTATGTGAGCAACACTTACTAAGTATTATTGCTTTTGCTATCTGAAAGATGGCAAAGTGATTGGGATTCTTGCTGACCAAACAGAACTCTATTAAGGACCATGGAAAGGAGCTTGAGACCTGGTTCCTTAAAGGGAAGTAAACTACTGGGATTGAGAAACTGAGCCAAAGTATCAGACTCTTGGAATAAGTACAGAGTGCTTTGTTCTAGGGAGGTGAGCTCTGCATCCTGGGTGATCAGGGCAGTGGTGGTCTGGGGCTGAGTGCATTTTGGAGGATTCAGTAAAGGTGAACAGACAGGTCATAGTCAGATGCTTATCTGTTATCCTAGCACTGGCAGAGGATGATGGGCCACTACACATATAGACCACAGATGCTAAGGTTTGCAAGCTATACTTCCTGTAGTTGCCCTAGTAGGAGAATGAAAACGACTAGGTTTATAGTGTCTGGGTCTATAGCATCTTCATGAAGCTTCCTAGGGTGATGCAGATGACATACAGAACCTAGGAGGAACTGGAGTAGCTCCTCAATATTCTCTTGGGTCAGATCATGCTGGTGAGGCTGGTGCATGGTATCCCATGACACCTGTATGGGTCCCAGAGAGCAGAGCTCAGGATCTGTGTGGATCAAAGCAATCAAGCCTGGGCCTGGCTGTGGCTGGAGTAGGCTGATGCCTTTGAGCCAGTCTTTGAGCCAGAAGGTTTAGGATGATTCTGCCCAGAGGGAAAGCCAGGTGGTGGCTCCCTGTCTGCTGGGCTGGTCCTGCTGGGTGGGACCTGTGGACAGATGCCAGAGTGCCAAACAGCACCCTTTGGCACAGCAGCCCTGGCCCTGAGTCAAGGGGAAGTTCCAGAGAACATTCTAGCTGCTTTTCTAGAATGTTCCAGATTATCCCAGAGTTCAGACACACAGGAAGAGAGCTCAGTGAAGACTGGAGTAGGCTCTGTAGACGACAGGAGGTTCACACACACACACTGAACGTCAGCCAACAACAGTTCACTCAAAATCAGAGGCTGGGAGTGCACAAATTTCAGATTAGTCATTAAGTACTAAGGTAGAAAATGACGTAGCAGGTTCTAGTCAGAGTCCAGTAGACACTACCTTGGTGGCCTCTTTTACCACCACAGTGGTGCTAACAAGACAAATGCCCGAAAATGTCTCCTAGGGGTGCTGGGGTGGACAGAGAGCAGCTTGGATGACCTACAAACCGTTTGCTTGGGTCTTTTTCAAATCATCAATGCCAGCCTGAACGGAAGTGAGGCTCAGAATGCCCCAGAACTGTAGGAAGTTGATGGCTGCTGGTGGGAGAAGAGTCAGTTTTCTTCAGAAGTGTGACTCCTGGGTAGGTGGCCCTGCCCAGTGGATGGCTCTACACCCTTGTGCATATGGGCAGCTCTGATTGGACTCAGTAGGTTATTAAAAAAAAAAAAAGTAGGACATAAAGTTAGGAGAAGGGTGGGAGTGTCTGGGAGCAGCTGGGTAGGGGGAGTAGGGGTGGATATGACCTAAATATATTATATACATGAATGACAAACTCCACCGATGTCATTCCAAGAAAGGATGAGTGTTAAAGGCTGTGTTAAAAAGGGGCTGAGGGGATGGGGCAGACAACACAGAGCAGGGGGAAGCAGAGTGACTACGCTATAATCATGTGCCATGCCCATCTTAGTTGCTCCACACCAGCCCACATCACTTCATGATCCCTCTCTAAACAGATGAATATAGTAGATACTGATGGTAAAACTGCCTGCATCCAACCAGTGGACAGTGGTGATCCAGGCCAGTGTACTTGCTCTGAAGAGACACGAGGGAGCTATTCAGAGGTTGACAGAGAGTGAGCTTGGCTACGTACTGGGTGTCACTGCAGCTTTTCTAAAAACAGCTGAGGAAAACATCCCACCTGGTTCACCTCTCTGAGCAGTTCACATCTCACATCCCATCCCATTCCTCTGCCTGGAAAGCTTTTGGTCCCTGGAACTGTCACTCACCTGGGTCTCCAGTTCTGTGACCTCCAAGTTTAGTTTATTCAGGTGCTTGTTCACGAACGTGATGAGGGTCTGAAAGGGAAGCACAAAGGTTCTGAGATGGAGGCCTTCACGTGTGAAAGGGGCCTGGGGCCAGCGAAGAGGCTCTTGGTTAGGTAGCCATATGGCTGAAAGGGACAGGGGAGCCCTGGGAGACAGGATGACAGGTGGAGTATCTGCTCAAGGGCCAGGGTGGGCAGCAGGGGAATTAAGAGAGCAAGAGAAGCCGGGCAGTGGTGGTGCACACCTTTAATCCCAGCACTTGGGAGGCAGAGGCAGGTGGATCTCTGTAAATTCTGTAGAGCCAGTTCCAGGAAAAAAAGAAAGAAAAGAAAAGAAAAGAATAGAAAAGAAAAGAAAAAGAACAGAGCAAGAGACAAAACCCTCCGAGTCCTCTTGTTGATCCCTGCTTTGGTACCATCTCCTGTGCCCACGCAGATGAGGAATTTTATGTGAGGAGCAGAGAAAGCTGGAGTCAGTGTGAGTAGGAAGACAGGGTAAGCATCCTGCTGGGAGCAGAAGGGCCCTGGATGACTAACTAGTGACCAAGAGAGGGATGAGGTGCCCAGGACACCCCTGGTGCAAACTGAGATTTCTTCATGCACTGTGGGGTCTTAGCCCTTGCTGCCCCCAGATACCATAAGCTTACCTTTTTTACCACATTGAGCTTGTCTGGAGCATGATCAAACAGTGTGTCAAAGGCGTCACGTTCTAAAACAGGGAAACATACCATGAAGTGCAGAGCAGGGCTGCTGGAAGCCATGTGGTCGGCTACCATAGGGAATCTATGCTCAATTCTTACTGTGTGTGTCCACCGGGTGACACATTGCTAAGCAGCCTAACCTGGGCTTGGTCCTTTCTCTTCACTTTTATTCCACATATCCTGATGTTGTCACAGTTCTAAAGTGTTTCTGACATCCACTGGCCATTTGTTATCCAATTATCAAATTGTTATGGCTAATTTTCATGACAATTATCCTGATAGGGGCAGAGATGAGGACACAAGGGCCCAGTACCTTCTAAGATAGAACAAGAGTTTCTTTCTGGGGGTTCCAAGTGTGCCAACCCTCTGTGCCTCCATTTCCCCTTCTATAAAACATCATCTGAAAGATAAGCCTTCCCCGGGGCGAGTGGTAAGAATGAAAACATGTTTTCTATAGACTTCAACGTTGTTCTCCTAATGCAGTTTTTAGTATAATCAAAATATTTCATGAATTCACCAAGAATCAGGCTGATAGAACATAGCTAAGCCATACTCCTGGCAGGGATACTTCTTGCTATGGTACCAGATTCCCAGAACCAGAGGTGACCTAGTGGAAGGGTGTGGAGGCAGGGGTGGGGAGAGTTTCCAGAAGCAAGCTGGGCTGGGAAGGAAGGGCCTGTGACCCAAGGCCAGCCTTTTCCACTTGACACTGATGGGCAAAGCTAAGACTGCTAGGAAGCTGTGTGTATGTGTGTGTGTGTGTGTGTGTGTGTGTGTGAGAGAGAGAGAGAGAGAGAGAGAGAGAGAGAGAGAGAGAGATCTAACCCTTGAGGATTCCATAAACAAGCCTGAAGTTCTAGGAGATGAGAATCATGATGGGGACTAAGAGGGAGTGAGGCCAGGAACTATCTCCCAAGTGTGTTCAAACATCTTTTCCTAAATTTCCATGCCAGGCACAGGGTAAGTCTTCCCTACTGGGGTCAAATCTCTGTTGACAAGTAAGTATCCTTTATGCCACTCAGCTGTCCCTCCCAACCTGGCCAGTGTGTCCCCAAGCTGGGGCAAACGCATCAGATGACAGAACCAACTAGCTTCAATAAGGCCACCCAAGCTGGAGAAGGGCACAAAACTCACCATGTCTTCCAGAAAGGGCCCTGGAAGAAAAAGAGGGGAAAAAAAAATCTGTTATAGAGTTAGGTTTCAGTTTGGGGCTAGCTTGGGCTACATGAGGAGCAGAGGTTGAAGATGCCTAGCCAGGAGATCTGAGAGACCAGCATGGGGTTTCACTGTCTGGGTTCAATGGCTGACTGCCTGGAGGTTGGCTTTGTCTTGCTCCTATGATGCCTGCAAGTGACACTTGTCACTGTTCCAGGACAGTGTCTCTGAGAGGGCAGGGACTGGAACCTCATTCACAGGCAGAGAAACAGTCATGGTCTAAGCGAATAAGCACCAGAGACAGGTGACAGACCACACAGTCAGACTAAGTTCTAATGAGGCCCTTTCTTCCAACCTTTTTAGATGCTGTGTGATTCCAGGAAAGCTCACAGCTATGCCTGACTTTTTTTTTTTTTTTTTTTTTTTTTTTTTAACATGGATGCTCCGGATCTGAACTGAGGTCCTCATACATGTTTGTGTGGCATGCACTTTGCCATCTGAAACTTCTCCCCACTCTCATGGAAAACCTTTTATTTCTCCTCATCTTCAAATTTCTAAAAATAAATAGGATAACTAAACTAAGCCAAAACCCAAAAGACATCTGTAAGGTAGAGAGGGCTTTCTGGGTCATGGCACGTGACCAAATAAATCAGACTTAAGAAGGAAGAAAGACCGGCATCCTTTTGAAGATTAACAATTCAGTTCGGCCCCGTGTTTACCACGTGATAATTTCATGCTGGTTAGCTTTTTGGGGGGTATGCTTTTTTTCCTGGAGAGCCACAAAATTAGAATTTTCAATCATGGCTAATTCCCCTCTCCCAGTTTCCCCACCCAAGGCTGTACCTTAAGCAGCAAGAGGCATGTTTTGAATGCAAGGAAAAGGCTAAGCTATAATCATCGGCTGCAGCTTAATCCCTCCTGCAATCCCAATAAATGAAAACTAAATATCAGCAAATGGGTGAATTGCAGAGAAACATCTGTGTTCCATTACAGACTCGCTGGCAACAATGGTGTTGACATACTCTGTGTTACCAGTTATTTCCTCTTGGATTTGTCGAGACTGGAGGATCCCTTCTCGTTTCTGGAATGGAAAAGAGAAGAGAGCAAAACAGGCTTTAGCAACACAGAAACACTGGTTGGTATTCCTGACCTGGAGGAGGTTATCAATGTGATGTTTTTACAAGAGGGTCAAGAGATGAGAAGATTCAAGAAGTGAGAATGTAGTGACCTGAGGCCCCCCCCCCCCAACTGCACCATCACGGCAGAGTGAGTGCAATTGGTGTTTAGTCCAAACAAGTAGGCCGATTCCTGGACGGTGGAGCCTGCCTTTCTTTATTGAAGATTTCTGTTGGGAGCCAGCTGTTTGCCTCAGGCATCGAGGCACAGCAAACCCAATGGAAATGATGGCTGGGTGTGTCTGCCTCCAGCTGGGGCCCTGTAGGGAGGCCACTGTGTACTGCAGAGCTGTGCGGCTGGATGGAGGTGTGCAGGGCAGCTTGGAGAATTCAGACAGAGGTAGAGGGGACTTATGCTTTGTTTTGCCTTTTACCCAATAACCATAGAGCTCTTTTAATTTCCTGACTATTTTAAACTTATTCTTTGATAATTTCATGCATGTACACAACATCTTGATCCTATCCACCTCTGTTCACCCCTCCTGGATCCTCTCAATGCTTCCCACTCCCAGCTTCATGTCTATGTGTATATATACCACCAAACCCATTACTATTGCCAGCTTCATGTCTACATGTACATCCCACTGAACCTGTTATTATTGGTGATATTCCCTGGGCCTTGAGGGCATTGCTGTGGGCTTCTTATTTAGGGCTGAGCACTCAACAGTCACCTATTCTCAGCACAGTTATGAATCTGCATTGACTGCTGCCCACTGCAGAAAGAAGCTTCCAGAATGAAGGCTGAGAGCAGCACTAATCTATGGAGTGACTCAGTAGCACAGTTGTGCTGAGTTGAAGGGTGACATTCTCAGGTCCCTCTAGTTCCAGTAGGCTCCACTTGGTGCTGGCATGGGTTCTGTGAGTGGGCACCATGTGCTTCTTAGATACGTGGCTCATGCTGGGAAAAGCCTTGAGCCTTGTCTAGCCAGTTTATTTCTCCTTCTCTTCTCCCTCTGTTCTTTTCAGAGACTCATGTAGCCCAGGCTGGCCTTCAGTACTATGTGGACTTCCAGGTAGGTGGTCAGATATACTTTCCAAGAAGAGAGACACTGGGAAGATGTCACTCGAGGGGGAGGTGACTGCCATTAATTCCTGGGCAGCGCTCCTTTAGTGTGGCTACAGAATTGAACCTGTGGCCAATGAAAGAACACAAGGGATCCCTATGACCTTCCGATGGATGCCAGGAGACTCATTCGACCAGGTCCCTCTGCAGCCAGCAGCAGACCCTTGCAGGGTAGTCTGGGCACCATAAAAGGCTGGCAGAGCCAAGTCACTGTCCCAAAGCCCAAATTAATACTGAGAAGGGGCCTCTGAGCCAGGGTGTGGTGGCACACACATCTAGTCCCATCACACTGGAGGCTAAAGCAGGACCAAGAAGTTTGAATCAAGCCTGGGCTATATAAATGAAACCTTGTCTCAGTCCAACTCTTCCTCCACCAAACAAAGAAGGGACCTCTGAGTTTCGGAGGATCAGCTGAAACATGCCTTCTGTCCCCAAACTTTCGGAAACATCCGCTCCTGTTTTCAATAGACACACACACTAGCTTCCGGGAGAACCCTTTCACAGAAGGGAAGGCAAACTGGAAAGAGTCAAGATTCTCTGCATTAGAACAGGAAGGGACAATGAAGGCGGAGAGGAAGTAACAGGAAATGAATGTCGGAAGGGACCTGGGAGGAGAAATCAGGATTTGTTCAAAATTCAGTGTGAAGCATGTCCAATTTCCACATGGGGCTCAGAGAATCCTAGTCTTGGGAGGCCACTTCTAGATAGAAATCTACTTTTCAGTTCATATGTAACAAAATGCTTTTCTATAGAAGGGAAGAGAGCGGGTATTACAGAGGGAGCCCTCCCCAGAAGCCCTGTAACTATCCCTGGGGAGACCACCCCACAGCTTAGTAGCTTACTTTCTGTAAGGTTGGTTTTCATTATTGTTTTTGCTTTAAAACAGGGCTAGGTGGTAGTGGTGCATGCTTTTAATCCCAGCACTTGGGAGGCAGAGACAGACTGATCCCTGAGTTCAAGATCAGCCTGGTCTACAAAGTGAGTTCCAGCCAGGGCTGCACAAACCTTGTCTCCAAAAACAAAACAAAACAAAACAAAACAAAACAACACAAAAAACAAAACCAAAAACCAAAACAAAGTAACGCCTCACTATGTAGCCCAGGCTGACCCAGAATTCATTACATAGTCTAGACTAGCCTCAAATTTACAGCAATCCCCCTAATCTCAGCTTCCTAGGTGCTGGTGCTGGTACAGTCCTGCACTATCACACCAGGTATTTCTCATCAGTTCTGGGTCCTCCTCCTGAGCTTGTTCTCTTAATAAATCACCCTGTAAACCTTAACACACACACACACACACTCTCTTTCCCTCTCTCTCTCTTCTCTCTTTCTCTCTCTCTCTCTCTCACACACACACACACACACACACACATACACACACGCACACACACACACACACACACACCATACTCTTTCCATGTCCTCACCCTAGCAAAAGTCCCTGCAGCAGAAATTAAACCAACAACTGCCTCTGATGGCTGATAATTGAGCTCTAAACAAGGTCTGAGATTTGAGCTTGGAGGGACCACTGTTTCAAAATAGCAGTCTCCCACTGACTCTGCTGCTCAAATCCACCTCACCCCCACCCCAACCCCCACTTTTTGATCACAGTAAAGCAACAGGCAAGTTTTGTTATTTCTATTAGAGAATTGTCATATACCTGGTCAGAAAAACAACTAAAATATCCAATAAACGAACAAAGAATCTATAGAAGGCAGAGTGGTCACAGAAGATGTGAAAGGCCAGTTTACCTAGAAATCTCTCTCTTTCTACTAGCAACGGAAGAACCATTCATGAACTGAACGACTGCATGTATAGTTCTACAATTATTAAGGACTTCCAGTGCCTGTGCTAGCTAATCACCAAAGCACTCTTGAGTTAACAGTAGACGTCAGGTTTCTGTTTTCTATTTTGTTTGTCTTTACCTTTGTTAGAACGTTTTAGGTTCAGAGCAAAATGGAGAAGAGGGGCTAGGAATCTCCCTTGTTTTCCCACCCCAGCACCCTCCATAGTCTCCTCCACCACTGGCACCCTGCGGCAGATGGGTACACTGTTCACAACTGAGCCAACTGCACTAAGCTGCCTTGAGAGGTCAGTTATTATCAGGGTTTGCTCTTGGTATGGCCTTAGGTTGCATATCCCAAAGCAGTTCAACCAACTTCAAAATCCTCTGTGGTCCCTCATCCTTCATCCATCCCTGTCTTTCCTGCAGCAGCATTTCAAAATATAAGTGGAGATGGGCTGGCTTCTTTAGGAAGACAGTTGTCCCAGGATGCTCTGGGCTGGCCACAAAATGCTGGGCACAAAGGCAATAAAGGCAAAGAGCTCAATGACAAGGAGTCTGAGTACCTGTCTATCAGCCACACTTAAGGGTCCTGTCAAGGACCACCCTCTGTCCCCTCTGTGTCATCTTGTCTTCTTGAAGTCAGCGCCAACGCACCCTATTCCTATTATATCTTTATGATGCTTTACAGAGTTGAGTGTCAGGAGGTGTGGAAGAGAGACTTTCTCATTAGGGCAAGAGTGATCTGTTGCTTAGGAGCACAATTGTTGAATGTTCCCCTCTAGTTACCATCTGACCTGAAAGCTCAAAGCCTTTTTGTCCTGTGAACAGGCCTGACCTGATCTGGAGCAGTTAACCATCCCAAAAGCTTTCTCTTACTGACTGATGGCAGAGTTGCTTCCTATTGTCTATCACAGAACCCTGGATGGCTCTGGATGCTCAGGGGGCTGTGTGCATGCACAGCATACCCTCTCACTGCATATTTATTTGGAAACAAAACAGAACAAAACAAAAACCAACCCAGAGACAAGCAAACACAATGATGACCTTTTGCTAAGTGGGCACGAAGTTGGAAAATAAAATTACATTTGGGTATTTAATGGGGTTAGGAGCAGAGTGAGCTAGCCATGGGGAGAGAGACTGAACCCTCATTGTGGAAATTACATGACCATATGGGAATGGAAACTCCATCCAACAGTCTGGATGAGAGGGCTTGAGGTCCCAGCTGGCCATTGCTTGGGGACTGAGAAGCAGCAGCAAGGGGCATGAACATGGATATGCTTGCACACACCCTCAACACTCATACACAACACTGTCTCCCTATACACAAACTTACACACACATACTTTTACCCCTATGCTTGAACATAAACACACTCCCTTTCACATACACATAATTGAACATACACCATACTCTCACTCACACACACCCTTGAACACACACATGCTTGAACATACTTCTCATATGCACACACACACATTTGAACACATACTCCTCACATGCACACAAACATTTAAACCACACTCCTCATGTACACACACACACACACACACACACAAACTTGAACACACTCCTCACATGCACACACATATGCTTGAATACATACTCCTCTCACATATACATACATACTGTTGAATGCACATTTCTTCACACACAATACATGGATAACACTTAACCAAAAATATGATTTTCCAAAGCTTTCAGCGAATGTGCATGGCACATACAAACACCTTTTTTTTCCTGTTCAAGTCTGCATATCTCACAAACATATACACTGTACACCTTCAGCTATACAAATGGATACACTATATACCTTCAGTTACATGTTGTACAGAGATTCTCCTAGCAGAACCACCTAAAGCCCAGACAAACACCCACACAAAACTACACTGCACACAAGCACACACTTATTCTTTGCATGCTTACAAGGCATAAGGCAACAGGTGCTGATGCCTCCCAACACACAGCACAACCAAGTCTACTTAGCTTCCAGCAGCTGTCCTTCTAAGTATCTATCCAATGCTGTGACTGTTGTAGAGCTCAGTATCTATGGCTTAAGGATGCATGCGTGTAGGGTAGTGTTCCTCTTACCTGGACCACAACCACTTGGATGGAAACATGGTCTGGGAGTCGGATTGGTGCCCGGAAATACTGAGACAGAGCGACCAACAGGTGGAGAATGGCAACCAGGCTCTTGGCATGAACAGCTGAAATACAAGATTAGAAAATGGAGCCTTTCTTCAGATTCTAGGCAAGGTACCCCCTTTAATGTTGTCCTGCTGCACTCTAAGCATCAGGGAATTCCCTCAGTCATCACACGTTCTCCCCACCTCTAACCCGCTTAATGTATGACCATGCCCCATGGTTCCTTCTTGGACACTATGATTGGGAGATTCCAACATGGTATCTCTACTGTCACTTGAGGTTCCCCATGAGGACTTGGACAATGAATGAAGCTGGAGCTCAGACCAGTTCTCCCTGCCAAGGCCCCTGTTCTCATCTGTACCCACTCCCTCCCCACCTGACAGGGAATACTGGACTGCTACCACTTCCCCTGTTCAAGGCTGGTCACAAACTTTTTTTTTTTTAAATCAAGAGACACTAAGTCAGGATCCCTGGGTCTCTTCCTCTGTTGAGCGCAAAACTCCTTAGAAGAAGGCGTGGGAACCACTTAAAAAGCTTAGCTGCTCCTGCCTGATAGGTGGGTGTAGTCCATGTCCCCAAGCAAACCCAAATGTCTTCCACAGGTGCTGAGCCCTTTGCCCATACTAAACCATTTATGCCGCTGAAGGCCAGGCCCTTCTGGTTGTAGTTTTCTCAGTAGATGGGATAGAAACTGACTTACAAGTCAGGCAGATTAGAATTCAAAGGTGACTTTGTTTCTCTGCTATCTGTTTATTGATGATGGCCTTGGGTAGGGGCCACTCTGGCCACTGAGCCTTAATCTGGTTATCTCCTCAAACAAGGATGACAGGTCCCAGGTGGACATACACACTGTAAAGACTTCCAAAGATAACATGGGCAGACAGAGCTCTTGGAACACTACAGGTAGTTAGGAATGACTGGTATTTTTTATTATAACCTATGAGAAAGTACCTGGCATGGAGGCAATCAGGCATGCCAATCCTCTCTCTTCCTGTCTCATAAAAGGGCAGACCTGCCAGGCTGTTTGCCTGCCTGAGAGGTCCTACTAGTATTATGGCTATTCATTACAGGGACATTTAAGCGAGAACCCGGAGTAGCACATGTCAATGTCACCAGCATTGGGCTCATTATCAGGGTGTCATTTGTCTTCCCTGGATCAAAAAAACTGCTTTAGAAGCTTTGAGAAGCCACCAAGGAAGGAAATGATTCTGACAGTCAATTGACATCATTAGCAATATTCTTTATCATGGCTGTTCCATAAGCAGAGTCTCCTAATGGTCAACAGTGGCTCAACAGGACACCAAGCAGTGGGCCCATATAACACAAGATTCAGTTCTGGAAAACACTGTCCACTGACTCTGACCTATAGTGACAGCCTACAAAATGGCTCTTTGTTGGGACTGGACCACTGATGTGGCATTGTCACCGAAGGATAGAGTCAAATCAGGATTTGTTTTCCCAAGCAGGGTTGTTATATCACCCTCAAGTTGGATCCTGGGGGCTGTAGGCACGCTTGAGGCCCTCTTGCTTTTAATGACAAACCTGATGTTGGAAAGCTCAGGTCAGTCAAGCCCTGTCTGGTGCCACTGTACATCATCTTGGCAAGTGACATCAAAGGCATCAGATAGATGTCAGGCCCTTTACACAAATATTCTGTCCTCCAGGGAATTCTTTTCAAAAGAAATAACCCCATACAGCCACATAGAGGATGTGGACAAAGATGCTAGTCTGTGTCACACATCATCATCAAAAGCAAAACCCTGGGAAACATCCAGGAGGAAAAGGATAGCCATATCAGGGCTTCCAAACTTGTTTTTGCTGTTGAGAGACAACAAAACCATGAAGTTCTTACCATGAAGTTCTGTTGGGTCCAGGGCTGTATGGGTAGCCCAACCTGGCCCTTCTGAAGGTTTTTTTTTTTTAAACTAATTTTAATTTTATTCTTTATTAATTGCATATGGGGCAACATGTGCCATAGCATGTATGTGGATATCAGAGGACAACTTTTGGGAGTTGAATATTACCTTCCACCATGTGGTGGGTTCTGGGGATTGAACTCAGGTTGTCGAGTTTGGTGGAAACGCCTTTACCTGTTGAGTCATTTCAGTGGCCCTTGAAGGTTTTTTATTTTTACCCCTGCCTTCTTTCTCCCTCCTAAACAGAGGAGTTCTATGTCCTAAAAGCCAATGGCAGAACTCATGAGAGAAAGACCATGAAAAGGGCCTTCCGGTCTTAACTGTAGCCCACTCATTTCTGCCTCGTTTCTTCCAGCTATGTCTAAGTTTCTCCTTGTAATCCTGAGGCTGAGCCAAGCATATGCATCAACCCCAGACTTCCTGTTATAGTATAGTCACATAACAGAACATTTGCACACAAAAAATCATGGTTAAGACAATGTCACTAAAATATTAACAATGCCAAAGGGAAATTCTAAAGGAACAAGACAAGAACATGAGCCATGCACATCTACATGCAAGTACATATAGGTGTGTACGCACACATGCATGTGTACAAACATGTACTTGTGATCAGCACTTGAAAAGGAGTATAAAGCCATTCTGGGCTGTGTGATAAAATCCTGAGCCGTGTCACTCTGTAATGCTCAAGACGTGAACTCTTCCTTGTCCAGTGTGTCCACACCATGGATGCTACTCCTCTGCTAGTCACCTGGTGGCCACATCAGGTGTCAGGCTGCCTCAGTGTTACAGTGACTGTGTCATTCTACTTAATGATGGCCCCAGGGCACAAGGACAGTGGGGCTGGCAAGGCAGATATGCTAAGGTGAGGGCATGAAGGGCTGCTCTTACATAAAAAGGGAAAGGTTTCAATGATAGAGAAAAACCTGAGTACTAAGATTCCAGATCTTCAGTTAGAATGAATATTCTGCATAATTATGAAAAAAAGAATATTTGTGCTAGGTTTCTTTAAAATTAGATTTTTTACTTATTTATTTCATGTGTATGGATGTTTTGCCTGGATGCATGTATGTGCACCATATGTGTGCCTGGTGTCTACAGAGACCAGAGAGGGACATCAGATTTCCTGTTAGTGGAGTTACAGATGGTTATGAGCAGTCATGTGGGTGTTGGGAACTGAGCCTGGTCCTCTAAAAGAGTAGCCAGTGCTCTTAACTGCTGAGCTGTCTCTCCAGCCCTTCATGTTAATTTCTTTGTCATACCTTAAGGCACAGGAGTGGTGGTCATTGTGTATGATAAATGTACTGTTAGGATGGAAAAGGCTTTAATGGTTGGAGCACAAAACAAACCTGTAGACCAATAGGAGAGAGTAGCATACCAGGAAATAAACCCACATGGCTACAGCCACTTGCTTTTCAAGAGGGGTGTAAGAACACATACACTGGAGAAAAAAAGTATAGCCTCTTTAGCAAACAGTGCTGAGAAGACCAGATATCAAGAAGCAAAAGAATGGAGCTAGAGTTGTACCTCTCACCCTGAGCAGCAATCAATTTAAAATGGGTCAAAGATTTCAATGTGGGACCTGAACAGTTGACACTGCTAGGAGAAGACCTCAAAGACTTCCATACAGACAAGACAAGGCCTTCCCACAGAGAGACAATGGCTCCGGAAATGACCCCTGAACTGAAAACGGGATTGTCTGAAGTTAAAAAGCTTCTGAAGCAGAGGGAATAATCCGCCAGAATGAGGAAACAGACTACAGGATGAGTCTTTGCCAGTTACCAACTAGATCCACAATATGGAGATTAACCATAAATGGCCAAATGTACTAAATAGACATTTCTCAAGAGAAATATGCAATGTGTGTGTGTGTGTGTGTGTGTGTGTGTGTGTGTGTGTTCGTTCAATATCCTTAGCCATCAGGGCAATGCAAATTAAAAGTACTCTGAGATTCCATCTTACCTCAGGCAGAATGACTACCATCAGGAGAACAAGTATCCCAGTGGGGACACTGGTAGGACCCTTTAGGAATCAGCATGGTGGGTCCCCAAAAAACTAAAAATAGAACTACCATATGTTCCAGCTAGATCACTCCTGGTGTATCTCCAAAAATTCCAAGTCGACATAATGCAGACATACTTGCACACCCACATTCCTATTACACTACTCCCAATAGCCAGGAAACGGAACCAGCATAGATTTCCATTAGCAGATGAATGGATACAGTATATGTGCACAATGGCACAATCTAATTCAGCTATAAAGAAAAATGAAGCTATGGCCTTTGGAGGCAAATGGATGCAATTGGAGATCTATAGTGAAATAAGCCATGGTTCTTTTTCTTTCTTCTTTGTATGTGTGTGCTCATGTGTGAGGTGGGGAAGAAAAGGAGGTGTGGGGAGGAAGAGGAGGAGGAGGTCTCAAAGGACAGATGGGAAAGAGGGAATGGGGTACATATGACATGAAAACAGAGTAAGGAACTATCTTGGGTGAGGAATGGGATGAGCAGGAGGGTGCAGGAAGGTGGGAGAGGAAGATTGATTAGAACAAAGTATAGTGACACATAGGTATAAAAATGGCACAGCGTAGCCCAGTACTTGGTATGATAACTTAAAATTAAAAAATAGATGGAAAAGCTATTCCATGTGTATGTCTATGCACACATAATATCTGGAACTACCCATGATGCTGACATCCCCTGGAGTGTTGAAAGACTTCCCCTTTCGATACAGGGAGATTACTATCTATAAATGCATAGTTGTGTATTCATGGGTGAGTAAATAAAATGCATGTCCTATACACCCTTTATTAGACACTATACACATGCACACGTGCATATATGCACACCTTGCAGTAATAACGCCAAAAATTTCAGGGCCCATCTCTGGGTTGGCAGCTTATGGAGGTTGTATGTACAGGCTCAGTACAGCCTGGCTCTGCAGCTGGCTCTCTGGAACAGATTCTGCCTCCATTATTCATCATTCTGTAGCTAGGACAGTGGTGCTCCCTCAGCAAACATTAGGGGGCATCAGATGTACCAGTCACAAGCTAGAATCCCTGACCCTGGGATGGTGACCTTCATGGTCTCATAATTCTTCTATGCCTTGATTTTCCCATCCATGGAATGAAGGTGATGAAAAAAACTA